TAATTAAAAAATTAACAAAGTTGAAAAAAAAGTAATTATTTGTTTTATCAAGTTATTCTGCCAGTTTTCTTTTTTTTCTTGATTCTTTACTAGAATTCTCTAATACTCTTTTGAAAACTCTTTCCTCTTGGTAAATTTCATAAGTAATCTTTTCTTTGTCTAAATATGTTTGCAAAGATTTGGTATCTGCTAATTTAAAAATATAAGGAGCAATTTTTTCACCTTGTTCTTTCTTCAAAATACTTCTAATAGTACTATAATTCTTTGGTTCCATAGTAGACCTAATGTAAATGAGTTTCATATTAACTATTTTTGTCTAGACAAATATCATGATCACATTACATTGTAATACAATTGTGATATTAAACAAACACTATTGATCCCCGAAATCCTTTGTAATACCAATGTTCACTTTGTCTGGTTTTGTTGCAGCATGCCCCATATTAACTTATTTCACAAATTTATGCATTATGGGATTTTATTTATCTATTTTTTGTATCCCTTTGAATTAAAACAATTTTGAAATGATAAAACAACCAAAGTGGGGTAATTAATTTACTTAACTTTCTTTTGCTTTTAAAAAGCTTTTGTCTTATCATAATTAATATTAACATGCATACATAACATATATATATGTATATAAAGATATTTCTAGTACAAACATTGCGAATTTTGGTTCTAAATATGAAAAAGATGCTCATTACAAAGCTGGAGCCAATGAAGCAGCATGGTCAAATAAAGAATCTAATATTGGAAAAGTAGCGTTAGTATATAATATTTTTAACTTTAAAAAAATATACATAAAATTTTCAAATTTGTTTTTTTAAAATTTAGTGGACTTTGGATATGGCGTATTGAAAAATTTCAGGTAGTACCTTGGCCTAAAGAAAGATATGGACAATTTTATTCTGGTGATAGTTATATTGTACTTCATGTAAATACACAATTACAATTATGATTATAATTTTTGATTGTAATAAAAATAAATCATAATTTTACATATTAATAATTTGTATTCTAGTCTTATAAGAAAAACAAAGATACAGAAGCCTTAGCACATGATATTCATTTTTGGCTTGGCTTGGATAGTTCCCAGGTATTAATTATTATTAAGAAGAAATTAAAGATCAAAAAATCATATAAACATTTAAATAATATTTTAAATTTTTTTTTTGTAAGGATGAAGTTGGAACTGCTGCTTATAAAACTGTTGAATTGGATGACTGTAAGATTTATTTTAATTACACAGTTGTTTATTACTGATTGGTTATTTAATTATGTATTTTTACTACCATTATAGTTCTTGGAACTTCACCTGTTCAACATCGTGAGGTAAATTTGTCATTCCATTTACTTAATTATATATATGTATTCCCTTGTATATTAAAAAATTTGTATTAAAGGTTCAAGGGAGTGAATCTGATTTATTTATCACTTACTTTCGTCATTTCCATGTTGAAGATGGTGGTACTGAGAGTGGTTTTAATTCAGTTAAACCTGAAGAGTATCGATCACGTTTACTAAAAATTAAAAAAATTAAAAACACTGTTATTATTCGAGAAGTACCAAAAGATCATTCATCATTGAATTCTGGTGATGTATTTATTCTGGATAATGGTTTAGCAATCTATCAACTTAATGGTAAAAAGTCACATGGTGTCGAAAAAGTCAAAGCAGCAGAATTTGTTAGAGCTTTGGAAGGAGAAAGAAAAGGTTTACCAAAAATATTGGTTATTGGTTAGTAAAAAAAAATAGATATATATATTATTTTATTGCTTATATACATACATATACATATATACATGTTTGGTTGTATTCATTTGATTTGTATGTGTTTTTTATAAAATAAATTACAATTTAGATGAAGGTGATAGAGAAATGCATAAATTTTGGGATGCACTTGGAAGTAAAGGAGAGATCAAACCTGCTGAAGCAGATACTGGGGCAGATATTGAAAAATTTGAAAAGAAACTTTTCAGGTATAATTTTTTCCTACTTTATGAAATATTTTTATAAATTAAGTATGATAATTATTTTTATTTTTATATAGAGTGAGTGATGCTTCTGGTGAAGTAACTTTTGCTCAAGAAGCTAGTGGAAAGGTGACAAAATCGCATTTTGATACAAATGATGTTTTTGTTTTTGATGCAGGACATGATGGTAATTAAATTTTTTTTGATTTTGAGACTGTGGATTTTCTTGTTGAATCATATGTATAATTAATTTTTGTAATAAAAACAGTATTTGTATGGATTGGATTAAATTCTACTATTAAAGAGAAAAGATATGGATTACAACATGCACAGGTAGGAAGGGTATTCAATTAATGATCTCTAAATTTATTGCATTAGTGACTATTTATTAATAAATAATATGATGATGTAGGATTACATTTCAAAATATAATCGTCCACCTTTTACCCCTATCACAAAAATTATGGAAGGTGGTGAGAATGAAGTTTTTGAAAATAGTTTAGATGTTTAACAATAATATTTGTTAAGTGTAAATTTATATTTATTTAAATGTAAAGAAAGAAAATTTCAAATAAAATTATTTTTTAATCAAGCTTTTTGAAATTTTCATATTTATTTTCAATCATTGTTGCATTATTTCTATTTAATACATTTATTTTTACTTTATCAATTACTTGTTTAATATGCCTTGAATAAATTTTATTAATTGATAAATCTTCTCTTAGTGCTTTAAATCCTGATTCTCTGATAACCATAATAATGTCAGCAATAGAACAATGTTAATAATATTAAAATTAATGTTAATATAATGATAATGGTAATGATGAATATTTAAAATTCAATGATATCACATCAGATTGCCTACCTAAATAATTTTTCCAAATCTGCACCACTAAATCTTTCAGTTAATTCAGCCAATTTTTTTAGATCAACATCTTCACCTAATGAAAATTTTCTAGACAAAACTTTCAATATATTCAATCTATCATCTTTTGATGGCAAACTAATATATATTAACTGATCAAATCTTCCTAATTGATTAATTAACCAAGTAACAAATTAATGAATCAATGAATATAAATTTTGTTATAACAGGTTGACGATTATTATTACCTGGTCTAATTAAAGCATCATCTAATTGTTCTGGGTTATTTGTACAACCAATTATCAAAACATTTTTTAATTCTTGTATGCCATCAATTTCATTTAATAAAGTTGATAATACTCTCTCATTTATTCCAACTGAACTTTCATTTGATTCCCAATCTAAACATTTTTTTTGTTTTTAGGGGAATAATTATAATTAATTAATAATTAATTTACATCATATATCTTTCATTGCCACTCCTATTTCATTTATATTGATTCATCACCTCTTTTAGTTCCAATTGAATCGATTTCATCAAAAAATATTATGCAAGAAATTTGTTTTGATTTTTTAAATAAATTTCTTAAAAATTTTTCAGTTTCACCTAAATATTTTGAATAGATTTCTGGACTTTATATAAATAAAATAAAAAAATTTCAATCAATTTATTTTATTCATGTCAGTAAAAATAATGAATGAGGAGGTGTTAATAAATCAATACCTTTTTATATAAATAAGATTAATATTTAATTCTTTTGCAATTGTTTGAATTAAAATAGTTTTTCCGCATCCTTTAAATAGTTGAATTGGATATATTATAACATTTACCATGATAATGAATAACTAATTATTAAATTATTTCTTATATACATCTATTTACCTGATGGACCATAAAGTAATAAGCCAGTTAATGGCCTCACACCTAATAAATTGTAGTTACCATCATTTTTGCCATTATTTATCAAAGAAAATTCAATTATTTTAATCAATTTTTTCTTGATAGCTTCATATCTAAAATAATTTTTTAATTAGTAAATTACATGTAAATTGATGTATTATTAGTATTTATTTTCATTAATATATTATAATTATTTACCCTCCAATATCATCATTCAAATTTAGATTAATTGGAATTTTATCAGTACCAAATTTTCCCAAAGGCTTCATCATTGATAATCCATAATTAAAATCTTCCCAATCAATCTTGAAATTTCTATTAGATCAATTAGATAATAATCAGCAAAATTTTTACAGTAATTATTATTACTAACAAATTTACTTACTTATTATTACCACCAGCATTAATGTTAATTTTTGACATATTATTGATAATATTATTTACATCCTCATTCTCACCATCATTATTGGTCTGATTATTTAATGAATGCATTAAAGTTAATCTACATAAATTATAAATATCTTCTGAAACATATCCATTTGTCATCTATTATTTATTTAATTAAAAATCAAAATGTTATTGTGATTATTATTGTTAACATTATATGTAATATAGTATTATTTACCATTCCTAATTTATTAACAAATTCATAAATAGTTTCATTTGATAAATTGTTATTATTAAATAAGTTGTTAATATGAAATTCTAATATTTCTTCTCTTTGAATTCTAATTGCAGAAAATAATTTTTTTTTAAATAAAGTTTAACAAAATCAATATGAAGTTTTTATTTATTTACCTTACTGGAAATGATAAATTAATTTGATGTTGAAAAATTTCAAAATTGTTTGCTATGGAATTTGGTAATTTAAGACTATCATTTGAAATACCAATAACAATCACCTTTATAAATAACAATAATAACGGATTACATCAGAATTAAATATATGTGATATATGGTATATATATGAAATGAATAATAAATATATTTACTTTATCGGTTTCATTAATATTTTGAATTTCCTTTATTAATGAATTAATAATTCTTGATTTCCATCCACCATCGATGTCACTTGAACTTTCATCCTCATCATTAACTTTATTACTTAATAAATCTAAATCTTTTATTAATATTATTGATGGTGATGATAAAATTGCTCTGGTGAAATTTAATTTTAATAAATTATTATTACTGCTGTTGCTAATTTTATTTTTATTTTTTATTATTATTGATGATAATGAAATATCAAAAATATTTATCAACAACTTATTAGAAATAAATCTAAGTAATAAATAACAATAATAATAAATAAATTAATTAAATATATTATATTTAAACAAAAAAAAATTTGTGTAGTAATGTAGTAGTAGTACTTGACTAAGGTTTTCTTCCCAACTCCTTTTGGTCCATTGATTAAAATTGCTTTAATTTTAGGAATGTTTAATTTATTACAGATTTCATTATTATTAAATGAATAATCTAAAATAATAAAGTAGTAGTTAATTAATTTATTTACAAATAATAATTAATTAAAAACAATAATCAATTAATTACCTATAAATTTATATAATTCATTGAATTCCTTTGAATATCCTGGAATAGTATTAATCCAATAATTATTCTGATTATTACCATTAATATTATTGTTGTTTAATCTTATTTCTATTTTGGTGATATTTTTATTTACTTTATAAATTTTATTATCAACAATCTTATTATAGTTGTCATCATTGATAATTATTGATTTTATGATAAATATACATTCATTATTCATAATTTTTATATTAAATAATGAATTATTTGATACCTACAAGTAGATTAGTATTATTGCTAATCAATTAGAACTGGAGTGTTAATTTTAAATATCTATCATTACAAAAAGAAATTATTTTCAAATTTACAAACCAAAGTTCCATCAAGGTTTCTTTTAATTATTTCTTCATAATCCAATAATAAATTATTTGTTCTTGATGAGTCTTCTTGTTTCAGAAATTTAGGTAACCAAACTTTACCAATCAATTTAGTTATAATTATTTTATCAGGAATCATAAAATCTAAAATTAAAAATTTTATTATCATCAATATTTATCTTAATGTTATTAATATTATTATTTATTATTAATAGATATATATTTTTACCATTAAACTTAATATGATCAAATTTCAAACAATTTTCTTTTTTAACATTATTATGATTTATTTTTGGATCATATAAATCTAAAAATTTACTTATCCAATTAGGTAATCCAATTTCATCATCTTTTACTTCAACAGAAGGCAAAACCATCAAGTAAACATTAAATGTGTCATCTTTTTTTAATAATGATAATTTTATGGAAACATATTCAAAGCATGGAATTGCCAATTTTGGAATCGTTTTTGGATTTAATTCAACAAACTTTATATTCCTAAAAACTGGTTGCATGATAAAATTTGGGTTAGTGATCACAATCATCATATTCATGAATATTATTAAGAGAGTTACATTTATCAAATCATACAAAAATCCCTTAAAATTATGTGTCAATCACTTGATTTTGATAAGTGTAACCCCTTGATGAATATTCACAGTCAAACGATATGTCACAGGAAGTGTAATTACATATATGGTGCGCCGCATCTAAAGACATCAAATGCTGCGCCATTTTCCGAAAATTTATGCTGGTCAAGAAATCATCTAGATAAAATATTTAACTTTTATCCGAAGTATCATTGTGAATTAAATTATATAGAAAGTTTTTGGGAACTAAAGAATACACTAGAAAAAATCGTAATTATTTATTTAGAGAGAACTGTTCCTCTGGCATTGAACCAGTGTTGAAAATTCAATGTCCGGAATGTCCGGGTGTAAATATTACCAATCAAATTTTTAATTTTTTGAAATAGTTTCTAAATTTGTACTAGTTACACAATGAAATTTCAATACTGCATTGAACTTTGTAAAATTGGTAAGTTTGTTAAAAGATGTTATAGATTTATGACTTTCAGAAAAGGCCGTAATATTTGCAGCAAAAAAAAATATAAATCTCATAGAAAATTGCCAATTTATGTTAATGAATGTAGATATAAAGAAAAAATTGTTAAATTCATCACGTGATAAAAGTTGATCTATATTAGTTTCTGATTGGTCAAATTAGTTTAATAGGTGTGTTGAATTCTTTAATTAGTAATAAAATTACTTAAGTTTAAACCTCCATAACTTTTTATTTGCTAATTAATTTTAAAAAATCTCTCAATGGCATTGCTGTTTATGTTCCAAAGATTGTGAAATAGAGTTTTTATGTGCCAACAAATATTTCCAAAGTTATTAGGGTTTAAAGATTTGCACTTTTTTTGATGTCTTTAGATACGGCACACCATAGTAATGTGAATCTACACAATTATAAAATTTTTTTTCTTCATTATTTTATTTTAAATACATTCATACATTAAATTAAAACTTTAAAAATATGGCTTTAAAAGGGTTTTTGACAGCATTGTTAAAACACAAATTTCTTCATTCTTTTCTCCATTTGGAACAATGTTTGGGACTTGAATTCCTAATTGTCATCTCCATGATAAATGGACTGATAATCAATCATACAGAAAATCTCCCACATTATTCTTTTTTTTTTTTATCATAATTCCAATTTGTAAAAAAAAAATTTTTTGTAATTATTATTACATTATTTTGCTGTACATATCAAAAGATTTCTTTGATTTTCAGTTGTTTCAGAAATATTTTTTATAATAAAATTAATTTATATAGATTAATTAATATAGGTATAATTTTATTATTTAACAGGTGTAGTATTTGTAATTTAACAAGGTAAAATATGAAGTAAATTGAATTAAAATTGGTGATGTTTACTTATTGCCTAATTTAGTCCATAAATAGTCAGTTTTTTGTCACACACTTTAGATCAGTTGATTTTTTAAGCATTTATAAATTGTCACCAACTTTTGAAAATTAGTAATGACTTTAAATTGGTACCAACACCTTCATAATCAAAATCTTCTACCATTTTGAATAGTTGCTTCCAAGGTTCATTTGATTGTGCAGTTTCCAATAGGCGATCAGTTGTTGAATATTGGAATCAATTAGAGCCAGAAAGTTCAAGTCAGTTGTTAGTTCCAGGTACAGAAATGACAAAAAAATATGCAGATTATCCTGAAACAAGTATGGATTGTGGTAAAAAAATTGGTGGTGCACCAACAAAAGGAACTATTCATTTGCCATAATTAAGGTTGTGGGCAAAACTCCTTCAGAAATCAATTGACAGACAGAGCTTTGACAAGTTAACAGTAATTGTTTATTAGAATTTCAGCAGATTTCACATTTGGGAGTTTTATCAATCATGAGAGTTTTGATAGTCACTAAGAGGTTTCAGCAAGCAAACTTAGCTATAATACCATAACCAAAGTCAGCCAATAAAGTGAATTTTCACCATATTTTGTAATGCACACCAAAATGTTATTAAGTCATAGATCAAGAGCTGCACAACCACTGCTAAATCTCTTGGTTGTATCATATATTTTCCAGCATCCATAATAGAACTACTGCATAAGGTTTAAAATCAATGCATCTGAATAGTCTACCAATTTGATAATATTTAGTATATCATTTAATATGTGTAAAATTTCAATTTCACAATAGGCTAAATAAGGTTGCTTGCCAAAACCTCTTAATGACTGCCAAAACTCTAATAAACAATTAGTGTGTAACATGTCAAAACTGCCAATTGATTTCCAGAGGAGTTTGGCAAGCAACTATAAGGCTAAAACATAATAAATTTCAAATCCATAATTTTTACACCTTTTGTCTTTTCTGTTTCTCATGAGTACTTCCATCATTGTTTTCAAATCTGACTCACAAACATTGGACTAGTATCATTATTTCCATAACAACATGAATAATAAATTTTGTCTCTTTGAGTTTTAATTGAATTCTCATATTTAAATGTATGGTAAGAAATACATGCTTGTTTTCTCCTTCAAACATTTTTCAATTATCAAAAATCCACCAGTTTACATTGAATGAGTCATAATGAAGTGTTGTTTACCAGCAGCAATAAGTTAAAGTTTATGTTTTTATGAAGACTAAAGATAGCTCCTCAATTAGTTGCAACTAATTGTAGCATATAAAAATTGAATTGCAGCTAATTGTGGTTCCCATCTTTAATGAAGACACTATAGTTTAATTAGTAAGGAAGTTGAGATTTATAAAAATATTTAACAAATTAGCAATTAACTACCTTTTCTGTTGGTTCGATTTTTAAGCCAAACCACCCAAAACCACACTCTCAGTTTGATGTTAATCTCTAATCAGAAAATTGTGCTTGAGAAAATAGCTCAATAATAAATAGGTGATAACCAGATTCTACTAAACTATCTGTAATGTAACATCATGATATAATCATTTTTGGAAGATCCTCTTTAAATTTCATAAAGTTAACTTGTAGCAGAATGTTTAACATTGAGTTTAATTCAAATGAATTTCTATCCCCTGTCAATAATTTTATTTAAATACTAAGGTTAAATTTTAATTGTAGCATATAAAAAGGTTTATGAAGCTGCAGATAACTCCACAAATATTCTATATCTGCAAATATTCACAATACTTTTTTGTGTAAGGGAAATTTTTTAAAATTGTAAAAAGAATTGTAAAAAATGAATAGTGATAATAATAGTAATATAAGTAACTCAACAGAAAGTATTGGTAGACGTTTTATTTTACTGAAGTATGGGATCATGTTTGTATGAGGAGAGGTCACCATCAAGGTTGTTAGTCGAATCCGAAATATTTAGGCATTTGCCGAATCCGAAACTATTTCAGGCATTGCTTTTTAAAATCCCAGTTCCGAAATGCCTTAATGTTCCCGAAATGCCAAAATTTCATATTTGGTAAAGATTATCATGATCACAAGAATCACCAAGCTTGGAAATATTGTTTCCATTCAATTTTGTCAAATTTATAAAAGCACTCCAACTTTGAAACCTTTCAACTAGTATAGAGATGTTTTCTGGGAAAACCAGCCAATAACTTTCTAGAGCTTATCCCAATAAACAAAGTTACTGGTGTATTTCCCCAAAAAATGATTTAAGAGTTGGATAATTTTATTGTCAGGTTAAGATATTTGTAGAAAAACAAATCACTTTCAAATAGGAGTTTAAATTTATTAAATTTATTAATTTTTAAAAAATTATAGCCATATTTATATAAATTTATATAAATGTAAAAAAATTTTTATCAATTATATATATCTTCTGGATCCCCCAAGTATTGATCATATTCATTAACATTTTCATCATTGGAACCTTCAGATTCATCATTATCATTATTATCATAATCATCAGGATCCAAAATAAATGGAATTCTATCCAAATCAAAAATATTTTCAATAATTACAAACACATCATGATTTGGGATTACTAAATTTTGTTCAATAACATTTTCTGTATCATCATTATGATTATTCTCATTGTCATGATCATTACCATGATCATTGTTAATATTATGATCATTGTTAATGTTATGATCATTGTCATCATAATATTCAACATCATCATCATCTTCCAATGCTTGTTCAACCATTTCTCTTAATTCCACAGGATCACTATTTTTTGTTATATATTTTAACTCTTGATTGATCATTGACAAGTAGTATGATCTCACTTTAGCCATACCTTCTACTTTTGATACAGCGAGACGAAGACGATTTTTGTTGTATATCCATCCAAGAGTTGAGAAAACCCTTTCACATGCAGCACTATGTGGTGTAATATCATACATTAAAAGTGCTAACTTTTGTAGATTTTTATGTGGATCATCTACTGAGAGCCACCAAATTTTTGGTGTTTCGTTTAAAAAAACATAATCATTATCATATGGTGATATTTTTAGTTTATATTTACGCATTTGTGACAATAATATTTCTTCTGATTTCAGGCTGCTATCTATACTTTTCCATATTTCACGTGCTGCCTCAACTATCAATTTGTATTGTCCTGTTTTAATGCCAATGTCTATTTAAATTAATAATAATAATTAAAATTTTAAATTTTAAATTAGCCAATTTATAATCTATATATACAGAATAAAATTTACCTCTATACCCAGGGTGTAAAAAGTAAGCCAATATATAAGGATCGATTTGAAATTCACCCCATCTTTTATTAAATGCACAAATTGAATGTCTTTTTAATTCAATCATGTTGCCAACATTAATATTTTTTAATTTAAAAGCAAGACGAATCATTTGTATAAATACATCAGCTAGAGTTGAATTATCACTTTCTAAGATTTTTATAGTGTTTTTAATTGGCAATAATATTTGAGACAATGATGCAACTTCTTCAAAAAACCCTTGCTTTTTCAATATTTTTTTGACTGGTCTGCTTTTAATTTCATCAGGATACTTAATAACTACCTAATATTTTAAATAAAAAATGATAAAAATCTGATCAATTCAAATGCATCTAATATAATCAATATATTGCATAATAAATTATTAAATAAATACTTCTTCTAAAGCTTGACGCATTCTTACAATTGAATTTGTTGATTCAAAAATTGATATCCATCTTGTCTTAATGCAAGTTTTGAGACCGCCTCCTTGAATTGAAAAGTAACTGGCTTCATTCATCAGCAAGTTTTGACAAATGTGAGATTTTTTGAAATATTTAATTATAGTTGAGCATTTTGAAAGTATATTAGAAGCCTGTTCATGATCTAATAAAAAAAAATTGAGGCATTAAAAAATATTAATATTAAAAAAATAATAAATATTAAAAAATTGTTACTCACCAATGATTGATTTGGTAATCAAGTTCACAAAATGAGCTATGCATCTAAGATTTATTATAGATGGGTATTGTTTAACAATTATTTCACGTGCAAGCTTAACATTAGCACCATTATCTGATACTATGGCTTTAAATTTATCAACTCCAATTTTATTGATTACTGTTTTAATTTCTGCTGCCAAAAATTGACCAGTATGGTGAGAGCTGGAGTAGTCACGAAGACAATATAAATATTGATTTTTTTGTGGTGTTAAAATGATAAAATTGTATATGGAAAATGAACCAGGAGATGACCACCCATCCAATGCTGAAAATATATAAATATATATAAAAATTCATAGATATGGGTTAGATATAAAATATTAGTGCACCAAATAAATTATTATTTTACAATCATTTACCAAGAGTAAGGTTTTCTCCAACTTCTAATTCTTTATCAATTCTACTATTTACTCTAGCAATTTCTTTGCTCAACAAGTTTCCTGACAATGTTTGACGTGTTGGAGGAGAATAATTTGGTCGTAATTCATGTAGAAGTTCTTTAAAAAATGGGTTATTAATGACATTAAATGAAATTCCACATCCAACAAATGCTTTTACCAATGCTGTGTTGATTGCATCCTTTTTTGAATCTGTGAGTTCTTTGCCCTCATAAAAATCTTCAATCCCTTGCTGCCCATCAAGTTTTTTTCTTTTAAATGAATTAGTTGACTGAATTGACATTCTTGAATTTGATGACAAATTATCATCAACTGACATATTATCATTTGTTGATAAAACTCCAAGATAAAAATTACGTATATCATTAGGACATTCAACACAATCATTAGATAGATGTGCTTGTAAACTTTTCACATATGCTCTACCCCAATTACGATTGCAAAAGATACATTTAGCAGAAAAATGGCCAGCTGATTTAAGTGGTGTTTTAGTAAAAAAATTCCAAACTTCATTGAGTTTTCGTCCTGAATTGCTGTTATTTTGTTTAGACATTCAAAAAATATTAGCTATCCTTGTTTGTTATTTATTATTATCGTCTTAATTATTATAATTATAATTATTATTGTAATGGTGTAGACCTTAAGAATATTTTGAAAATTGTGATGTGCTTTAATTATTATTACTAGATTAATTATTGTATGGAAGTGTGAAAATTGCAGTGCTTATAAATTACCTTAACTAACTTAATTATTATTATCTTAACTTAATTAATTATTATTATTCTTAACTATCTTAATTATTATTATCTTACTATCTTAATTATTATTATCTTAATTATTTGTTATTTTATTATCTTAATTATTTTTAATTATTTGTATTTTATTATTTTAATAAGTTATTATTATAATTATTGTATTAATTAGAATATTTATTATTTAGAGAAGTGGTTGTTGGTGAGCGTGAGTTTTTTTTCATATTTATTATGATAATCTTTACCAAATATGTAATTTCGGCATTTCGGCACATTTCTGCACATTTCGGCATTTTCAATTTCGGCATTTCGGAAACAATTCGACATTTCGGAAACAATTCAGCATTTCGGAAACAATTCGGCATTTCGGAAACAATTCGGAGTACAACCACTAATCCGAAATATTTCGGAAATCAAAAAATAGTTACAGCTAACAACTTTAGTCACCATGAAGGAGCTTATAATTACTGTGAACAGTATCAATATTGTAAAAATGCTAGGCCTTCAACATCACTTTATTGTGAATTCTTTTGAAAAGTTGAAACCATTGATTACAGTTAATTGTGAAATTGATATAATTAATCTATAATTAATTAAATGTGATCAATTGTGGTTAATTGTGGACATTGTGAAGATTACAACATTATGATTATGTTGCAACATCAAGAGTTGCAGCACCCATCTTCATTAAGGTCATCAGTTGCATTGAAGAAGCCACAAGCTTGCTTGTAGTACTGATAATGGTTAGCAACATCAAGAGGATGGTCATATTCATCATCAAGACAATACATCTTAGAGGTTGGAACTGGTCATATATGATGATCTGCACCATAGTCAAAATGGAAATTCGCCCATTTACAACATAATTAAAAATCTATTTTTGTATATTTACTTGTTGATCAAGCTTATTCAAAACAACTGAGATGATCAACAATTTATATGTGAAGAGTATTGTAAAAATCGAAAAAGTACCTACTTAGAAAAATGGTATACCACCACTTATTTACATCACCTCAAATTTTGTATGATGATGCTAATAATATAGTTCTTTTCTAAGCAGAAAATAGTTTTTCCTGAGTGGAATTTAGTTTGGACTTTTAATAGTTGAAAAGATTGCTTTAAATTTTGCTCAAATCAATACAAATGATCAACAATTTAACATGAAAACATAAACTAAAAATTTTATTACTTTTTTACAATATCTTTTTTTTTCAAAAAAAATAAATAAAATAATCTTTTAACTGAATCTTCTTATTTTTTATTATTAAAATGACCAAAGGTATAGGTAAAAAAAATACTGGCCCTTGTGTAAAATGATCCTAAAATTGAATATAGAAGACTTACTACTAATTCAATAAAAGCAACATGTAATAGCCCAGTAATTCAGAATAAGCAAGTATTTCATGACCTCACAAACATTCACAGACTTCCAATTCATAATATAGTTCAACTTTAATTCGAAAAAATAATATTTTTAAAAATATTTGGCTAATTTTATTGGATTATTATGTGAAACAAAAATATTGATTGACCAATCACAAGATTTTTAACTATGCTCTCATTTACAAATCGGTTATGATCGCCGCCTAACAATTTTCGTGTAACGAATTGTTGATACATTTATTTATTATTATACGCGATTTGCGAATATGAAATATAGATATTCTATTGCAAACATTGGCATACCTTCAGGTACTTGTTATATAAAAATTTATAATTTATAAATAAATGATTATAATTTATAATGTTTTTGGGATAATAGTTGAAGAAGAACAAGAAAATCAAATTGAAAATTTGAGTGATAAATGGGTTTGTGATATTTGTTTAGATTATATTGATAAAAAGGTAAATCGGTTTGAACCTATTAAAGCAATATATATGTTCGTGTGTTGATTTAATAATAATCAGACTGACAACAATAATATCATTTCCATTATTCGCATCTTCTTTAACATTATCAATTTCTTTATTCTTTTAAAACAAAATAGAAACATTATTCGTACCTAACTTGCTTAGATCCAAAGTGTAAAATGGTTTCACATTTGGTTTGTCTTGCTCAAATCTTCTTGAGATGTGAAAGAAACAAAAATATCAAGAAGTTTGAAGATATTCTTGGTAACAATAGTAATATTACAAATAGCGACATTTGTCAAAAAATTGACACTTATTATCTTTTACCAAAATATGGAAATTGTCCTTCGTGTCAAAAAAATATATTATGGGATGATTTGATAAAAGCAATGCGCGAAAGATTTCAAACCAATTTATAATTTATTTATTATTTATATTTCGTCATTTGGTTTATATTTTTTTTCAAAAGAAAAATTCACTATATTTATTGTTATTAAAAAAATGCAAAAAAATACTGCAATAAAGTAATAATTATATGATAAATTTTTCCTGTATCTTAATAATATTTATTTCTTCCTTCAGGACAATGTTATATGATACATATGATATTTCAAATAACTTAAAATTATTGGTTGTTTGCTTATGAAGGTGGAGAATTATATCAACCACTGATCTACAATATTTAATCTGAATTGATTGACAGCATATCAATAAATAACACCTTTTTTTGAAATGTCTCTTCAACAGCTAAAAATTCAAACAGGAGTTGTAAAACGGTTGGCATTATTTATTATAGCTTTTTAATAATTTTTATTATTATATTAATCATTGTTAATCATTCTTAATTAGACTTAAAAAAGATGTTAATTCTTATCAAAAGGAATTAGTACAACAACAAAATCACATTGATAGAATGGTTCAACAAGGTTATAATGAATACGATGTTAAAAAACAGGTATTCATTCTTACTGGAATCAGGTTTAATTATTCGCTGATGATTATTAATTCAATTATTTATCTATTTATTAAACAAATAAATAGAAGGAGGTTTTAGATGAAACTGTGCAGATGATTCCAGATTGTAAAAATCGTCTTAATGAAGCTTATAAAGTGTTGAAGGATTTAGTGGTAAGTAATTTGTTTTTGTTTTTTTTTTCCAATGATGATGATGATTAATTTATTATTATTTTTTTTTTTTGGTAAGAGTAAACAAGATCCATCTTGGGTTGGTACAGATGAGTTAAATAAAGCTGAAGAAACTTTAAAAGAGATTGAGTTAGACAGAGTTGAAGAAAAGGTTGGGTTGAAGAACTCTGATTCTTAATAGAGATTTTTTTGGCAAGCATTAAAATAAAACTAATAATAATCTAATATATTTTGATAACAATAATTAATTATATTTATTTATTATTTTAATGTAATTAATGTAATTATATAAATTTAAGTTTTTATAGTATTAAATTTTGCCAATAAACATTTCTAAATATATCTTCCATCACCAACCAACCAACCAACAAATCAAAATGTATATTTATGAGTAAGCACTTGAACTCTTTTTAGATTTATTATCCTCTTTATACGATTTAAAATGTTCTAATAAATCATAAGCATCTGTTTCAAGACATCTTGTAAAAGAAAGGAATAGAGATTTAAGGTTAATGATGATATAGATTATCTGAGAATTTTTAAAAAATATTTTTTTGAAAAAAAAAGGATATGATAAAAGTGATTCCTGAATTTCGGAAATCGGTACTTTTACAGATTTACAAATTGAACTTAGTCCTTGTTCAAGTTTATTAATATAATCACTATAATAAGAACTATTATTAAAAAGTTCTGGATCCTTTGAAATTATTTCCACGGCATTTAAAAGTTGCTATTTTTAAATAATATTAACAAAAAAAAAAATTAAAATTATAACGATAACAATAACACCAACTACTAATAATGATTTCCCAAAAAAAAAAATACCTGAGCCAATCTTTTAACTAGTGCAATTTTATAATCACTAAAATCATTATCATCCAATAATGTAATATTTTCAGAATTAAGATTATTGTTATTATTATCGTTATTATTATTATTATTATTATCATCATTATCATTTGAAAAATAATCTATATTTTTTGAACGAAATGAACCATAATTTTGAAATGATTTAGGGCTATTCCAACTCCAAATATTATTATCGTCATCTTCATTATTTAATGAATTGTTATTAAAATCTAATGATGTTTTTCTTGAGAATGAGCCAACTCTTTGATGTCGTATATGCTGCGGCTCATCTGAAAATGCATCAATAGCTTTATCTGTAATCGATTTACTGGCTTCAGGAGAAGTAGGTGTGATTGGTGGATCCCAACTCCAAGTATCAATACTTACTACACCGCTTGAAATAGGATCATCGTTTGGTAATGGTATATCGAGAATGGTGGTTCTACGTCTAGATTTCAAGATATGATTTGGATTTTTTGAAAGTGATACTTCTTCTGGTGGGAAAGTCCATGACTTAACAAGATGAAGTGCTAATAATGGACACCCGATCCTATCATAGGCAAAAATAGTTCTTAACACAAAGAAAAACTCGGTTTCTGCCGAGATTTCTGCTGCTCCTCTAAGTGTCTGTACAGATTTTTCTTTTAATTGTTTGTATAGAACTATAAGCGCTGCATCAGGTGAATTTGATGTAGAAATTTGCGATTCTGGCACTGTTTGATCTGCGTCACATAAAGTTTCTAGAGGTAACTAATTTATAATAAAATAATAAATTATCATTAAAAATGATAAAATGATTTATGTTATTTATTATTTATTGAGTAGTTACCATTATAGCTTTTACAGCTTTATCTCGTTGGTTTAGAAACCAAAAAGATAAACTAGCCAACCATCTATCACCAGTTTTAACAGCAAATGGAATAATATGTTCCTTAAAAATACTTGTGAGTACAGGTCCACTATCACCTTAATTTCCCCGAAAAGATATGGACAGATTAAGTTAATGAAACTATACATTGATGTCTATTTCATCATGATCATGATAATACCTTCATAAACACGACAAATAGCAATAGCTAAATGAAAATCATCTAAATATTTCAAACAAACATTTACAGCATCTTTTAACTTATCACCAAGAAGAAAGAAAGCCGCAGCATATTCTAAAAATTCATTTCATGAATTAATTATAAATACAAATAAATAAATAAATAAATAGATTAGTTACCATATCTTTGTTTGCCTAAAAGAACATAAGCGTTTTTTAAAGCAGCAGTTTTCCATTTTGATTCATCAAAATTATTTGCAAGAAATTTCAACATCACAGCTTGTTCCTTATGATGATTGGCAGTTCTCCATAATCCCAATAATAATTTTTTTTTTTTTAAAGCCATATAAAATAATGAACAATCTGTAGGGTCTCTTTCTTCTTTTGCCATATAATGATTACGTGCTATTATTTCCATTTGTTGACGCTAAGATTAAAAAAATTAAATTTGTATTAATGTATATATTGTTTAGGAATTAATATAAATAACATACAATTGTATCAATATTACGAATCCATAAAAAAATTCCATGAACTCTGGCATCTTTCCAAAAGAATTTACCACCAGAAGCCATTGTACTATATTCAATCAATAAATCCTACAACAGCAAGTATTAAGTGTGTATACAGAAGAATATGTAAATCAATTATTAAAGTCATAATGATAATAATCTGCGCGAGATACCTGAGATTCACTATGTAATGCCCAAGCCATATCTCGAAAACTTAATTCTGATGAGCTTATAGCAGATGTTAATTTAGAACGATGTAAGTAATGATATCGACGCATAAATAATACATATCTAACACCGTTTTCGTCTAAACTTCTTTTTTGACTTTCAACCTAAACAAACAAACAAATAAATAAACGTATGTATATATATGTGTGAATAAAAATTCAAAATTATACTTGTATTATAGTATCAACTAAAGCAAGTAATTGTGCTTGTTCGACGTGTGATAAATCTGGAAGTGAAATCGATTTTAATTTTTCACTTAAGAATTCAGCTACTTCTTGGGTAAACTCAAGCGTGGATTCTTGAGATCTAATAAAATTAAAATTAAAATTAAATAAATAATTATTAATAAACATATATTATTTTTAATTATAAAGCATGAAATATGTACCCGTCATCATCACTATCTTCATCAAATAAAAGGCTGTAACGACGTGTCTTAATAGTTGATGTCGTCTTTAAACAAAACGAAAAATCATGTAAATTATAATTAAAAAAGGTGACAATCATTATCATTAATAATTTAAACTAACTTTGTCTTCTCCAAATAATTTATCAAAAGGCATGGGAAGAATTGTTGCAATTGGTTTATCGTAACTTAACAATAACTTTATATATTTATAAAGATGTGCAAGTATCTGTTTAACAAGTTCCATTCTACCTATTTTTGTTAATAAATAAATAAATAAATAAACATAATGATCTAATTATTTAATTAAAAATAAACTCTGCTTAAACTCTGCTAACCCCATAAAATATGTTGTATCAATAATGTTGGATGATGATGAGGTAATGGTCCATTTAAATAGTCGACAACATGAAACAAAGTTGGATATTTGTTAACACCAGTTATATTTAACACTAAAATTTATTTAACATTTGGAAAAAATCATTAGTTTATTAGGAAAATAAATTATTATTATCTATAGTTTAATGAAATAACATAATATATTACCTTTATTAAGGTCCTCTCTACTTAACCATTTATTGTAACAACGTAATTGATTACCATTAGCAACAATAAGTGAGCCTTGACTTCCCCATGATATAGCAGAAATTGGTAACAATATCTCTCTATTTATTCATCATAATTAATTAATTAGTCAACTAACTGCTTATTTATTTAGTTGTTACACGCTTACATGACAATAATAATAATAATAACGATAATTACTTATTCATATCAATTTCTGAAATCAAAGTCCATGATGCTTGTATATTTGTATAATGTTTACGAGTATAAATAGATATTTTTTGAGAAGTTGCAATAGCAAGTACCAACTCTGCATTTGAGGTGTATAACCAATCAATATCAATAACTTTTTCACTAATAGATTTTTTTTTAAAAAAAAAATTTATCAATTTTAATAATAATAATAATAATAATAATAATAATAATATATATATATAAATAGTTTCATATAGATTAATTAATATATAACCAGAATTCTGTTATAAAATCTTTTGAAGCAGGCAATCTTTTAGTCAGACATTCCCATATTGTAATTTCATAACCGGATACTGTTTCTAAAACTAAATAATAATAGCAATAATAATAATAATAATAACGTAAGTGGATATTTCTTAATTTATAAATAGAACAATAAGACTAAACAACATACCAACAGCAACTTTTCCTTGAGGACCACATCTAATTAAAGTAGGCGATTTATTATTATTATTATTACTATTACTACTAATACCATCACTAATTTCTATTTTTACTTCTTCCAACCAAAATTTACGAACGGTAGCTTTACGATTGCCGACATCATCATCATCATCATCATCATCCTTTTGCATATTACATTGCCAATATCTAATATAACCATCATCAGTAAAAGTTAAAAATACAGGAGGACTTAGACCTCTTGTTACTCTATACAATCTTGAATGTATACCAGTCCATTGTTCAACAGCTACAGCACTAATTATCTTATTTGTGATTGGAAGTTTTGATTTTGAGATGAATTTGGATTGAATTGTTGCTGCTGCTGCTGTTGTTGAAGGAAGGGTGTCTTGTGAATTTTGTATGATGTTCCAACAAAAAACTATATTTTGATGAGAGCTAACTCCAGCAATATAAGTTTTTGATAAATCTTTTGTTGTTGCTTGTGGTGTGGTTGAAGTGGTGGTGGTTGAAGAAGTGGTGAGTTCAAAAGAAAATAAAGACATTAATTCAAAGGAAGGATCATATTCTTCAAGTATCGATATTTGAGTAAAATTAATAATATTATTGCTATTATTATTATTATTTGGATCAAGTTGGAAAAGAACTATCCTTATTCCGTCATAAGCAGCTAAGCAATTTCCACCTGGTAAAACACAAACAAGTTTTATTTTAGAATCAATTGAAAAAGGCGATTTTTCAACTATGAATTGAGAGTTTTTTTCAGTATTATTCTCATTAAATAATTGCTGTTGTTGTTGTTGTTGTAAAAACGAAGTTACTATATCCCATAAAATGATTTCGTCATCTTTTGCCAGTGATACAAAACTATCAGTCCTAGGAGCTTTGATAATTGTTGTGATGTCACTGTGATGGCCAGTCCACGAATTTTTAAGATTCAATGGTGAAGAATTTTGTTTTAAATCAAATAAATCAACAAGTCTAATTGCATAGCAGTTAATGCGACCTTGATTATTTTGAGCTACTATTGTGAGTTCTACTAAACCTTATGTTTAAATTATTTTTTAACTAATTATTTAGTTGAATGTCCATTTATATAAAAAATAAAAATGAAAATAATAATTAAAAATAGTAATGATATGCTTACATTGAAAAGAAATATTATTTGCTTTTTCATGATAAATAGCAGTACTTCCAAAAAAATATTCAACATCAGATAATGGGACTCCTGGATTTATACGAAGCAAAACAAATACTTTTGGAATACGACGTGGTCTACAATAAAGGTTCTAATAACAGATCATTTTAAAATAAATGTTTTAACTTGAAAAAATAATTCATGAAAAGTGTATATATATATATGGATTGATTAATTAATTACCCGTATACCCCAAATAATCATTGTACCATCATGTTGAATCTGATAGAATAGATCAGGAGTATCAAGAGCAAGTTTTTGAAATTTTTTTAAACGAGCACCAATTACTGAATCATCCAATTCACCTTCTAAAGAATCAAGAGCTATTTGTATAGAAAGTAAGAATTCTTTAGGGTGTATCCAATGTATAGGAGTATAACGATCAAAACCATCATCTTCAGCAGAAGAAGAGGAGGAGGAGGAGGAGGAGGAAGAAGTAGACAAAGACATTAAAGATTGGCTGGGATCTATGGCAGTGACTATATAAAGAACGGATTGTTCATCTGGATTAGTTGCAGCCCATAATCGGCATATTCCATCCATACACATTGTTAAAAGAATATTGCTGCCTGCATAACTATATACATTTGAATGTTTAATTTGTTTTCTTTTTAAAAAAAATTATATTATTATTATTATTATTATTATTATTATCATCATTATACTTTTTTTGTTCAGGGGGGCCCTTTCTCCATGAAAAATTCGTGACAGATCTTGGGTGTGATAGATAACTGAAATTAGATTTCAAAGTTTTAGTTTCAACAGATTTATAAAGCCACCAGACTTTTACCAATCTATCATGCTTTAAATAGTAGAATAAATATATTAATGAATGAAATATGTATGTATGTATGTATGTATGTTGTTATTATTTTAATAGTTATAATAAAAATGATTGACCAATACCTTCCCGATAGTAGCAATAAGTTTATTATCTGGTGAAATTTGTATATGAATTATTTTTGAACCAAGTCTGAAATAATAACAATAATTAAATTATTCAGTAATTAATTAAATAAATAATCATAATTCTTTTCAAAAAAAAAATAACAAACTCTTGTTCCCAAATTTTTTCCCAAGAAGTTGAAATGTTTTGATTATTAGAGTTTTGTGATTGCCAAATTATAAATTTATCACCACCAACCAAAAGCTGGCCTTTACAATAGATACAATAGATATATATAAGGTATTTGTGTATATACAATATATTTGTGTGTATGTGTGTATATATATACAAGCAATTAAATATAAGCAGCAAGGATTAGCTGCATTCAAGAAATATAGTGTGAATGTTTATTATTATAAATATACTAATAATATTTATACGTTATAAATACACACATATATTATATTATTATTTTTTAAATTAAATATTAAATAATATCTATAACCTCTCAACTTACCATTATTATTGCCCCAAGATGTACAATAGATAGAACAGTCATGAAGCAATACTTTTGATAAATTCCATCTGGCCAACTTTTATCAGTAATACAATAATAATTATTATTATTAGAAGACCAATTTATCCATTCATCATTCATCTATCTAGCATTACTTACCATATCACACAAAGAAGGTTCAAATAAAACAACTTTAGTGCCAAATGTAACTGCAATCTATAACAAGAAATCAATCAAAACTATATTTTTCCAAGGAACATTAAAAATTTTATTATGACAACAATAACAACCAACCTTTCCATTATCTTCTGACATTCCTACAGAAATAATTTCATCATTTTGCTGGTCATCATTAGTTTTCAGATTATTACTAACATCAATTGTTTGTAGATGAATAAAATCCCCATTGTGTATTACAATTTTATTTGCGGCCCCATATATCTTTCATTTAAAATATTAAATGTAATGATAATAAAATCTTAATAAAATTATTCATGAATATTTGACAACAAAAATATAATACTAATAATAATTCATACAATATAACGAGTATTATCCCAAAGTGCAGTATAAAAACTTTGAATATGACCATTAGATTTTCCTGGACAAATTTGTTGAAGTAACATTTTTGATGAATTTAATCAAGACTAGATGGATTGTACATAAATAAAAGATAGATGTAGATCATTGTTTACACAAAAAAGTTTCACGTGACTAAAAATATTTTTTAATAAAAATATGATGGATGACATAAAAAAAAAAATATTCAAATAAATAATTTTTACCAAAATCAATTCATTAATTTAGATGGAGATCGTTATTATCTTCTAAAAGATCTTCATAACATAATTTAAAAAAATAAATTTAACATTTAAAAATCCAGCAAGAATATCACGTGGTTTAAATTATTACATAATAATTTATAATATATAAAAAAATTTTTTTTTTATTAAAAATATAAAATTTTTTTTAATATATTGCTTTTATTTTACACAAATAAATTTCCCATAATAATATAAACAAAAAAAATATATAAATATGGTTTGAAAATTGCTTTTCGAGTTTTTCGTTAAAAATTTTGCCGACCTTTTTATCGTATACGGGCTTTTATATTCACAACACAAAAAATTTGCATGATTTTCAACAACTATTAATTTTTCTCTTCCACTATTTACGTACCATCATATCAAAATTAAGATTCGAAGAAAATAGAAATATATATATTTAGTTATATATACACAAAAATACAAAAATAACGAATATATAACATATACAATATTTACTGAGTTTTTTATTAATGGATATAAAAACACTTCTTAATAAGGAAGAACTACCAACGAGTCCGACTTCATCGTCAAGTAGTGATTCTACTGACTCGGATCAAATCGTTGAGAATGATCGACCATACGATTGTAATTGGCAAAATTGTTTAAAAGCTTTTTCGAGAAGATCGGACTTAGCGAGACATCGAAGAATTCACACCGGAGAACGTCCATACCATTGTGAGTGGCCTGATTGTGGGAAACAATTCATTCAGCGGTCCGCTTTGACGGTTCACTTTCGTACTCACACCGGCGAGCGACCCCACGTATGCGAATATCAAAATTGCAAAAAATCTTTTAGTGATGTAAGTATCTTAATCTCCAATATATCACTTGTTAACAAGCAAAATATACTAATTTACGTATTTTACTATAATAAGTCATCCTCATTGGCGCGACACAGACGAACACATACTGGTAAAAGACCTTATGTATGTCCACATATTGCATGTGGAAAAACTTTTACTCGGCGCACTACTCTTACAAGGCACCAACGAGCGCATAATCCACACTGGAAAGAATATAACAAGTAATTAACCATAAAAGTTTTTATATAATGTGTAAACAGTGATGGTGATAGTAATTGTGTAATTATATAATAAGATATAAATTTCTTACATTTCTTTTTATTTTCTTATATAATCACTATTACTATTACCTTTTATTTACACAATCACAACATTTTAGGTTTTTTATTCGTTCAAAACTATAAAGCCATTTTACTAATTAATAAAAATAATTAATGATTCACAAAATTTTTTTTAGTAATGAATCACGAAAATCAACCAATGTAACTGCAACAAATCATACGATCGTTCCAGATTCACTAAACATTTCGATTATCAATAATTCTAACAATAATATTGTAACTACAACAAGACCATATCAACACAATAACATTGATAATAATAATAATAACAATGGATCTTTAAGCCCACCAACACCAATAGATCGACCATTAGATTATTATTATTATGATAACCACAGTAATCAATCAGGGTATCCCCCACTTTTCAATAATAATAACTCACATTATCACAATAATTATAATAATAATTTACCTTGTTTCACATATATCTCTCAACCAATGAATTCTTCATTCTTCAGTCCAAACAATTCAAAAAGAACAGCTTTCAAACCTGTCATGAAAGAAGCCGACTATAATTATTGGAATAGGATTCGTAACGTAGTATAAATATCTCAAAACCAATCATCATCAATCGATCGATCATTCTTAATGATGATAATTTTTTTCACCATTTTCAATCACATTACTAGGTTATGATATATATATACGTTAATACTTTCGAAGTGACATATTAATTAACGCACTAAAAAAATTTTTTTTTTTTTATTTTTTCGTAACAAAATAATCTCTCATAATTTATAATAAGAAAAACAAAATTCATTTCAAGAAAAAAAACACACACACAAATATATATATTATGTTTCTATAAAGTTAAATATATAGAAAGGTCAGGTCGAAAAAGGTTCACACAATATATAAAATAAGTTAATAATTCCCGAGTCTCATAATTAAGCATTTTTTATTCATATTTTCAAAAAACATATATATATATATATATATATGATTCTTTGCATTTATTATAGATTTTTATTTTTTACAAATATATAGACATACAAACATATAGAGATTTATTATATAACAATCACCCCACCATTACTCATTTTTTATTTTGTAAGATATATTTTTTATTATACATATACACAATATATATATATATAGATTTTTAATTTACATATGCTTTTTATTAAACCCGCATTTTATTAAGATTTCAAAAAAAAAAAAGTAAAATTTTTAAATATATAATAATTAATAGATTTATTTAGAAGATTTTACATTACTCGTCATTCTCATTTTCTTTATTCCTCTTTTTAATCGCACACATAACAAAAGCCGGTTCGAAAAAAAATTTAATGAATAATTGGCAAAAAATAAAAAAAATTGGTCAAATGGCGTCGTCTAGTAGTACTAAGACTTTTTTAAAAAATAAAATTATTTTACTATTGTTTTTGTTTATTTTTTATACAGTATTTTGGGATTAGAGCTGTTTTATTGCATTCGAATATGTTTAATTCGTGATACATGATAGACATAGATGATCGGCACATTTTTCAATAACAAAAAACGGGGCTAATATTTACTATTACTAGAAAATCCGACTCGTGTAACGAATCAGTTTTTTTAAAATATCTCATTATTTTTATAACAAATTCAAACATCATTATTAATCAGATAAAACTATGACATTATAGCTTTCTAATGAGCCCTCTCATATATTTATAGAGGCTCTCTATGTCAAGCCATATTTATTCAAAAACAGCATTACTTTTTACTTCAAAGCTAAGATTTTTTACCAATATTACCTTTACAAACTTGATGAGTGGTTGAAGAGATGTAAAATACTGTAAGTTTTCATTTAGGTATAGCTTTATGTGGATTGTTGTTTATTAAAGTTTAGTGAAAATGGCAAAAAACTCCAAAAAACATATTAAATTTTGATAAATTTATTTATCAATACACAAAAAGGAAAAAATTATGGGCAGGAGATTATCAGGAGTCATAACCAAAAATAGATAATTAATTTCCAAATGCGGTAATTTAGTTGATAAACTTTAACACCAAGATTTTTTTCTATTTTATTAATAACCTTTCCTAATTTTTTTCTAAAAGAAGGAACAAGTCTTGAAAAATCTGTGTCTCAAATTTGGTGGAAATTGGTGAGCAAAAAAGGGTTAAAATTAAGGTTTGTGGCTAATTTTATTAATAGGATTTCGACATTGATCACTAGAAAATTTCGGAAAATACACTTCCCAATTGTTTAATGTGACAAATCGTTCAACTACTACTAATAATAAAAAATCTCGTTTTGTGAATCCAGCTTGGGAATTTGCACAATTAAATGGATCAGGCTGTCCAATCATAGAAAAAACCTCAAATACATAGAAACAGATATTTAAAAGAATCAAAAAAACAACTTGAAATAATTTTTCTGATAAGTTGATTGTAAATATGAGCTCATATGGGGCATGCTGCAACAAAACCAGACAAAGTGAACATTGGTATTACCAAAAATTTCAAGGGTCAAAATTTAGTAATGTGATTATTAAAATCTTCCATTTGTTCCTCCTAATATTAGGTGATATATAGAACCATATCTATTATCAAAATAATCATATCATCCTTCTCCTCTACACAGCGAGTCTCGGTATAGCGGATAATTTGGGCAATTAGAACAAAAATTTCAAAAATCCGTTATACCGAGATTAATTCAAGATTTAATTAGTAAATCCGTTAAACCGAGAGAATTTACTTATAGACGGTTCTGAGCTTTGATCCGTTAAACCGAGAGTTTTATTAGACATCCGCTATACCGAGGTCCGCTATACCGAGACTTACTGTGTATTGTGATTTTTTTTAATATATCAAAGAATTTGTTCATCTCTTTCTAACAAAAAATCAATATATCCATCATCACATTGTAAATATTTTGCTCTTGAAATTTCACATTTTTCTCCTCGATAGTTTTCTTACCCCTATATAAAAATAGTTAACATGAAACTCATTTACATTGGATCTACTATGGAACCAAAAAATACAGCACCATTAGAAGTACAGTCAAATCTTGATAAACCAAACTACCATAAACCGATTTTCACTTTATAACAATGCAAAATTGGCTAACTAAATCATACTTAATAAAAATTATTTCGTTAAGCTGAATTTTATTATAATTTCTACTTTACTTGATAACTGAACTTAATGGTTTGTACAAAATAATAAAAATATAACTTCCTAAGCTGAATATGATCATAAAAATTCGTCTTATGATGATAAATTTCAGTTTAAAAATGGTCAATCACCCAACAATCAAGTTTAGTCAAGTTTAGTCAAGATGATTATTACTAAATTAGGCTTTTAACCCTTTATGCTGCCAGCCCTGTTTGTATCATAAATTGAATTTTGATAAGCCGATCCTATTTTTGTGGTTCCCAAAAGTTTGGCTTATCAAGGTCTGACTGTATTTTGAAGAAAGAACAAGGTGAAAAAATTGCTCCTTACATTTTTAAATTAACAGATATCAAATCTTTGCAATCATATTTAGACAAAGAAAGGATTACATATGAAATTTACCAAGAAAAAAGAAAAAAAATAAATGTTAGAAAAAGAATGCAGAATGAAGATGTGCTATTATTCAACAAAAAGCAGAAATCCTTAGAAGTCTTATTATTACAATATTGATTTATTTTTTTTATTGACAAAGAAATTCTCCTTTATGCAAATGTAATTAATAATTATCAATTGCATTGTTTATCAATAAAAAAATATTTTTGAACAAATTTTACATTCAAGGATATGTTTATAAATCTTTGTTTTTCTCATTGAAATTGAAGCAAGGTAAATAATCCCACCTTGTATTGGAACATTATAAAAACATTACCAATTCACTTAATTTTCAGGTAAATAACAAATCCTTCTAATAATCACCATTAAACAATTTTATTTTGGTTTAAAAAACAAATAATCAATAGGTAAAACTCACAGTGGCTTTGGGTCCGAGTATTTTTCTCCCATGCAAGTGCTCTGACAATTTTCAACTTATATTTTTATGTATTTTTCTATTATTAGTTTGAATTAAAATAAAAATAATTGTCTTTTTGTTGTTTAATCATTGTCCATAAAATAAATTCCAAGTCATTATGCATGAGAAACAATTAATTGTAACAATTACAATCTAAAATCAATAAAAAAAAAATTTTTTTTTAAAAATTCATTTTTAAATTTAATTTCAAGAAGATGGCAACAATCAAACAAATTGAAAAAGAGCTTGAGAAAGCAAAAGAGGAGTTGAATAAGTGGAAGGAAGAGTGGGGAGAGAGGTTAGACCAGTTGTTGAGAGGAGGAAAGGAAAATCGTGAAGGGGAATTTGATTACTTGAAGGGAAAAGAAGAGAGGTTGGAGGAAAAGGTGGATGATTGGAGAAAGGCGTTGTTAACATTTGGTAAAGGAGAAGGTAATGAACAAATCACATAAAAAAAAATTATTTTTCATTAATTTCATTTCATTTATTTATTTGTTTGTTTGAGTGACATATTGTTTGAAATATTGATAATATGTACTTTTTTTATGTATTATCTTACACATAGGTAAACACTCTGCAATTGAGTTGGCATCAGAAAGGTCATCAAAACGAATCTATATTGATTATTCTGAACATCTTGTGAAAGCACTTAGTATACCATTTGATCAAGTCCCTCCCTTTGAAAATTTAGAAAGTTTTCTTCAAGAGACACTTATTGAGCCCATTCCTGTCAGAACTAACTATGTTCAAATACATTGTAATGTCATTAATATCAACAAAATGATAAAAGATGAAACAGAAAATATTGATTTGAATGGTAATTTTATCATGATTCCTTTGATTTCCTTGCTAGCTGAAAATGCTTTAGGATTAACTATCACTGAAGGAAGTGAGATGGATCAAGGTTCTATTATTGACAAGCTTATCAAAGATCCATTAACAACTTTGAGTGAAAAAGATGACAATATAGAGATTTCTATGGCTCGAAATCTAACAGATAACTCAACAGCAACAACAAAGAAATCTTGTCCAGACTTTTCTGTTTGGTTGGAGAGAAAGAGAAAAGATATGTTGAAGATTTTGATGAAGCTGTTAATGAACTTGAATCAAAAATGAAAATCTGGAATGTGCTGTTTTATGGTGATGTTCCATACATACTTGCATATGCTGCTGCAGGTTATCGGCTTGGATTTTTTGCCATCAACAACAAAAAAGAATTAATCAAAATTTCTAAACGGTTTAGGCTTACTGATCCTAAGGACAGATCGCAAATTCTTAAATGTGTAATTAATATTTATTGCATTATAGCAACTTTAAAAAAGTTTGTTCCAAAGTATTTCATCTGCCTGTATGAAAATATTTATCGACCTCATAAAACAGTTGTACAAATACATGATAGTTTTATTGTCAAAACAATTAACAATTATTCAACTTTCATTAATGGGGATTTTGATATCATGAAAGCATTATATAAAGATACAGCTGATATTGCAAACCTTATACATTCATGTGACAAGTGTGGGAAACCAGATCTTCCCACTTTATTTAGAAAGAAGTACAAGGTGACATTGGCACCATTGGGTTATCAATTCAATCCTACAGAAGAATCAGAACTTAAAACGGCTATTCAAACTGTTCTTGAAGTTATTAGAGATATGCATTCTATTGGATATGTACACCATGACTTACGATGGCCAAATGTTCTTCAGCAGGTAGATGGAAAATGGTTAGTTATTGATTTGGAACATGGAGGAAGGTTAGATGTAGCTCCAGGATTTGGTCCTTTGAGCAATTGGCCACCTCAAGCAACAGAAAATAATGAATATAGACAAGAATATGATGTATACCAAGTGGGAAAGATGATGGCAGATTGTATATTTATGAAATCAGATTTGTGTAAATATTTGCAGAAAAGGCTTCTTGAAGCACCACAAATATCTTTAACAGCTGTTGAAGCTCTCAAAGATAAATGGTTTCTACACCAACAGGTATTATACAATATCTATTTATTATTGTTTACAGATTCAACAAAATGTTTTTGCATATCAAAATTATTGTTAATATATTGTTAATACTTTATATAATAGAATTTTAAAAGTCTGCTAATACTTAGTGAAAAGATCATTTAATATTAGTGAAAAAATAAAATGGATTTTCAATTTGTAATATTGTGAACCTCTTGCTTTTTTTATTATTACATTGTGAAAAACATACTGTGGTGTCACTTGTATGTTTCATGTATATTTTTTTTTAATTGATGATTCATGAATAAATGAGGGAATTTTAAGTAGGATCAGCAGGACAAAAATGTAAAAAATTTGCCAATTGACAATGTTTAACAAATAATAAAGCACAATATTTTTGTATTACATTTAAACAGTGTTGTGCAATTGGAACATTGTAATGCTATTGGAATGTTCCAATGTAGATCTTCAATTGATATTAACCAATAAAATTTGCGTATATGACACTATAATTGAATTTCATTTGTTAACTTCATTGGAACCACATTTGGAATGTTCCAATTCCAATTGGAATTTATTAGAATGCTCCAATGAAATTTTATTGGAACCATAAATGGCACAACACTGCATTTAAATATTTATTTAAACTTTGAATTTTTCTTTACTTCAAAAAAAAACCAAGTTAACTATCTAACATATAAAAATAACAAAATATTGTAATAACATCATAATAAATAAAATCAAAATATTTAAACAAACCCTTTTGTCTTTTACGCATTTTATTTCTTTAAATTAATTATTTTGCAAGTGGCTTCACTTTGTGAATAAATTAATTCTTTTTATTTTCTCTTGAAAATATCCATCACCTTAAACTTCCTAAGGGGTGCCTTATTGAAGATAACTAATTAAACAGATCCAAAACTTATATATTGCTAGCATTTTATTATTTGGATTTTTACCCAAAACTTTATGTAAATCATAGATTAAAAAAAAGTAATTATTTGTTTAGTTATCCTACCAGTTTTCTTTTTTTTCTTGATTCTTTACTAGAATTCTCTAATACTCTTTTGAAAACTCTTTCTTCTTGGTAAATTTCATACATAATCCTTTCTTTGTCTAAATATGTTTGCAAAGATTTGATATCTGCTAATTTAAAAATGTAAGGAGTGATTTTTTCACCTTGTTCTTTCTTCAAAATACTTCTAATGGTGGTGCTGTAATTTTTTGGTCCCATAGTAGATCTAATGCAAATGAGTTTCATATTAACTATTTTTATATAGGGGTAGTTCTATATATCACTTAAAAAAAAAAACAAGACAAATGGGACATTATAAAATCATATTGATGATAACTAAATTTTGATCCCTGAAATCTTTGGTAATACAAATATTCACTTTGTCTGGTTTTGTTTCAGCATGCCCCATATAAGGTTGATAGTACTTCAAATCAGTCTGTATTAAGAACAATGGGAGAAATTCTCAACAATATATCTCAATGGTATTAAAAGGACAACCTTCACAAAAGAATTAAAAAGTCCAAGATTTCAATACCAAGAAGATCTTGGGGGTCTTTGTTCAATCTGTTTCAATTATGGTTATGATGTTTTTGAAAATCTAATTGTTTTAGTTTCAGCAAGTAATATATATAGTGAACAAAAGGTTGGTTATGTGTGTATATGTGTATATATTATTATCTGTACAAAAAATATTTATAACAAATAATTTTTTTTTTGTTATATATAGTCAAATTCTATCAACAGGATTGAACATCTACAAAGGCATATGAAAAGAAATTATGAAAATGAAATCAAATTGAAAATGATGGACAATCTCACCATGATCCCTGTATATCACATTGTCTTGCATATGCTTTTTGGTATCTGTACAGATTCGCATGAAATAATTTGTTCTGATTGTGATGAATTTTGGGTTTTATTCAAGGATTTATACTTGGTGGAACTCAAAAAATATATTGAAGGATGCTCAAGATAAGCTAATTTATTATCTAGTCATCAAACTCAAAAGGTTTATCTAAATTTTCAATTTATTTTTAACCTTAGAGAAGTTGATTATGATGGTACAGTCTTGTTGGTAGATTACAAAATGAGAATTCTTCCAAAATCAACCCATGAGACCAAAGAAGAATTTTTTGGAAAAAAGATTGGTCATTTGCACAGTATTTTATTATATACTAAAAATCAAGCAGATACATTGAAGATCAATGCATATGATCATTGGTCTAATGACACAAAACAAGATGCTTGGTTCACAGCATCTTCACTTTATGCAGTTATTACATCATTGGAAAAAAAACTTAAATGTATTTCTATCATCTCAGATAATGAAGGACATTATCACAACTCAGAGTTGATGGTTATTTTAGGTTACTGGCATAAGTGATATGAGATAGAAGTTAGAAAGTGGACATTTTTGGAGCCAGGTGAAGCCAAAACCGCAATAGATTCTCATCATGCCCAAGTATATTTGTTTATTATCCATTGATTGAAATATTAATTCTTGGTATGCACAAACTGCACAAAGGCTGCCTGAAATATGGATTTTATGCCAATTTCAACACAATAATTTATTTTATATATAAGATTGCACATGCAATCAGAAGATTTGTAAGTTTAGGAAATGATTAAAAACAGATAGTGATATAGAATCAGCTGTTAAAAAACTTTGTGGAACTTCAATTGCCCATTTAGAGCCAAAGAGAGTGAAAATTTTAGCTGGTGTTTCAGATTTATACTTTTGGCAATGGCCAATTAATGGAGAGTATAGTGGCTTTATATGTGGTCACGCATAAAGAACTTATTGAAATTCCTAAGGTAGAAACTATATGTAATTGGATTTCTAGATACTCTGCAGAAATAAAATGTCAACAAATAATTTATCACATAATTATTCATGATAAAAATCCAATTAATGTCACCTTACTAATAGTTTAATATTAACAACTTGCTTTTGCTACGATCTAATTTCCTGCCCACTACAAGAAATCGATTTATTTGAACTATGTTATTATTATACAATCTTTAATAAAATTATAAATAATAGAAAGCAAAAGTTTATTTAAGAAAATTATTTTAACTCTCCTGTACAAGACTTAATGATGACAGGAGAAATTACATGGTCAAGTTTAAAAATGGTTTAATATTAACACCTTGTTTTGTTGTGATCTAATTAGAAATCAACTTATTATTATTTGGACAGTGATCTAATTTCCCGCCCACTACAAGAAATCAACCTATTATTATTTGAACTACATTATTATTAATATAATTCCAATTTATTACAAATAATAGAAAACAAGAAAATTATTTTCTCTTCTGTGAATTTATTTCCCAAGACTTAGTGATGGCAAGAGAAATTACATGGTCAAGTTTTGAATAGTTTGTTGTTGTCTGTGATTTAATTTCCCGCCCACTACAAGAAATCAACTTATTATTATTATTTGAACTACGTTATTTATTAATACAATCTTTAATAAAATTATGAATAATGGAAAACAAATTTTATTCTGCAAATTATTTCCCAAGATTTAATGATGTTGTGCGTTAATTTGGAATCTGCGTCGATTTGAAATTCACGCGCGTGAAATTCAAATTACCAATCAGAATTTTGTATTCAATATTAATATAAATTTCAAATTGACGTAAATTTGATTTTCACGCACAACATTACACATTTTTTCCCCGGATCGACATCGACTTCTTTCACGTATATCACGAATAATTGTATTGAGATGATTACAAGGTTGGCCATGGCACCGGTCCATTGGCGGTCCATTGTATCCATTGGTGAACCATATTTAGTATATTATTAACGGCAATGGACCAGACCAAAACTTGGTCACAATGAGGCTTGGTCTATTGCCAACCCTGGATTACGATAATTATGATGGATGATTGTGATGATTGTGATGATCGTGATGATTGTGATGATCGTGATGATTGTGGTGATTGTGATGATTGTGATGATTGTGATTATGATGAATTATGATTATGATCACGATTTACGATTACGATTACGATTATGATACTATGTTGATATGATTATTTAAAAAAATATACAAATATTTATATCTAGGTCAAAAAAAAAAAATCATTCAATATTTATTTACAACATTTCGATAATTTGTGAGAGTGAATTAATAAATCATAGATATGTGTGTATTTGTGAATGAGTGTAGGTGGTGATGGTGATAATGTTTAACGTTTTACACGTTGTATTTACTTGTTTGTTTGTTTGTTTGTTTGTTTGTCATTTTAAATTACGGTAAAACATATTACAATACATATTGATATTTTTATACGTGTACTACATGTCAAATTTAACTAAATAAATAAATATCTTCTAATAAATCCTTTCAAATAATAAATTTAAGATCGTGGAAAAAATGAAAAATAAACAAATAAACCAACGTGGTTTTGACAGCAGGACGATCAGTAATAATTAATATATAACTAATGATTTTTATTTTGATTATGTAAATAATAATGCGTGACCTGACTCAGGGTTTACTCAGCTATGAAAAAAACGTAATCAAAAATTTGTATCACATTTATTATTCATCATATATTTTTAAATTTGATATATGTTACATATTACGTAAAGATTCATACATTATTTCATTTTTTCATTTTCCCATACACACTTTAACTTCCAATAATCATTGTTAACAAATAGGAAAAATTACCATAAAAGTTGATAAATATATTAACTATACATATATATTAACTATATATGTGCTTATTATGTATCTTGCATGTCTTTTTTAATTTTCTATGAGAAACACCTTGTATTTGTTAATATTTTTTTTTTACCTTTTTTTTTTCTGAGAAAAATATTCATAAGTTATTGTCGAGTGAGCGAGTATATGTGTACATGTATATGTATGAGGTAATGCGTTCAAGACATTTCATAAAAAAATTTAATCATTTAAAATTTGCTTATTAATAATAATAATTTCTTGCAATTTATCTTACGCCTTTGATTATGTCAATTACAATGTTTTTTTATGTAATAAATATTTTGCTAGCACAAAAAAATAAAAATAAAATATTTCCTTCTTTTTGAAACATAAAATATTATTATTGAAATATTTGGGACATAAATTGAAACAATAGTGTATGTATACCAAATATCCAATTAAATATTTTTCATTCTAATTATCATAATTAGTCAAATTTGTGGATATATGCATAAATCATATTATTTTTATTTAACCAATATATTTGTTTCTTGTGGCCTAAGCATATTGGATGGAGTGAAATTGAATTGTTCACGTGATCTGTGTTTACCACCAATGGTTTTAAATTGGTTTAAATATTTTCCCTGCCAAATATTAATATTAAATACAAATATTGTAAGAAAATATTTGTAGGATTTATTACAATGAATTTATTATTTGTAGGACTTATTACAATGAAATTTATTATTTATTTATAATTTTTTTTCCTTTTCTTTTCTTCACTAATTATATTTTTTACGCAACCAACTCAGAGCCAACTCAGTTTTAAAAAAGCATTAGTATTAATAAGTTAGGTTGAATGGATTGGTGTTTAGAGGACGACGGCGAATGGATATTTTTTAAATTTTAGATTGAATGGGAGAATGGTGTAAATGGGTAGTAGGATATACTAAGTTATAATCATTAATTGGTTGAAAACTTGTTTGAATATTTATTGGATGGTGTTTAATATTTAATTCGTGCAACAATATGCTAATTTTATATTATTGTTAATCCTAATTCTAATGCTATTGGTGTATTTAATTATATTCGGGAAAATATTTTCATTGTCTTTTTTTAAAGTTTTTATTTTTTTTTTTGATTGATTACAAATCTTCTAAATATTCCCCAATTTAGAGATTTTAAGTTTAATTAAAGAAAACCTTTTCAGGGTTAAATGGTTAATATACCGCTTCCAGCTCACAGCACTTATTCACCTAATAGGTATAAAAAATGTATTCGGAGTTCTTGCTATCTTCTTGCTCGTATGACTGAACGTTTGGCCAATTCTTTCAATACACCTTGCCAATTAGGACTGATTTTTTAGGGTTAATAATTATATGGCCTTGTTAGATTTAAGACTAGTCAATTGAGATACATCCAAAGAAAGTTCACAACATCAATGCCATTTCAAGATTACTGCTTCTTGATACGCTTCTGATATAGGTTGGATTTCCTTGGATAATAGATGAATTATAGCCATAACCGTAGTTACAATGACATCATATAAATGATCTTTTACTAAAAAAACATTAACCCTGAAATTTTTGTGTTCTGTATAAATCTTTATAATAGCTGCACAGTTTTATTAAAGAGAACACTTTGCATTACTAAATTCAATTTTTTTAATCAATTGAAAAAAGGATTCCTGCACTATTATTACGAAACAATGAAAACTCACACACATAATAATGCAAGTTCATGCCGGGGAAATTTAATTTACTTTGAGGGGAGAAAGAGCAATAGTCCATTCTTACTAGCATAAATTATTTTCAAAAATCTAAAAAAAGAAAATTATATAAAATTAGAAATTTAATCAAAAAAAATAAAAAGCCAATTCGAATAGAAAGAAAAGAATTGCTGAATCATTTTTGGAAATATTTAATGTTGATCTCCATTGTTAAAAATTCTAAAACAAATTATTGGACAGAGATGAAAAATTAATTTATTGTTATTATTATTAATTATCGGCGATTATGATGACAAATCAAACTGTCAATTATCATTATTATATTAATATGTTGTTGACGTGTCCGATCATTTACACGTTGAAATTCCCGCGATTAAAAAAAAAGTCCGCTTCACGTGTTGTATTATTATCGTTTACAAACATCATTGTCATTGTATTAAAAATATTATGAAAAAAAAAAAAAATATATACAAATTAGTATTTCGTGCATATATTTTTGTTTTTGTATGGGTCAAAATGTGTATTATTGAATGTTCATTAATATTAATGTGATATAAATTGGTTTTGGATTGCCAGAGCCCGGATAATTTATCTTTGTGTTCGGACCAAAAATGGTTGACGAAATACTATACAGGGTAGGGGATTATTTCATCAAATCGTTGTTAATTTCCTCGCATTTGATGAAATTGATGAAATTGACGAAATTGACGAAATTGGAATTGATTTTATGTCAATATAGTAAAGTCACCAAAAAAATGATTTAGATTCGGAACCCTTTGTCTAGTGATGGGATATCACCATGATAAAAAGAATCGAGAATAATTACCATGGTAAATACTGAATGTTACTCTACATATTAAATTGCTATATAAATCAGGATATAATGATAAAATGTCATGTATAACACAAACATGCAAAAATCAATAAAATTAAATTATTAAAACCTTAGGTTCTCAAAAATTGTACTTTGAGTAATTACATATGATCGGTAATTTGTCCATCACTATCCTTGTCCAAATTTGATGCATGATATTAATATATTGGCTGAAATGCACTATATTAAAAATGAATCGATATATCAATCGTCCAAAAATTTGAATTATTTGGTGATCAGCAGGTATCACAAGCATCTGATTTGATTGGCTGAATCAATTTCACCTAATTTCGTCAGTTCTGTCATTCTTGGCGATAAATATTTAATTTAGCCATATATAATTTTCGTCGACCATTCTTAGTTCGGACGATAATAACTTCATTTAAATTAAAGCAAAACGTACATAATAATAATAATAATAAATCATTTTGTAGCTAGGTTCACCAAAATATGTACGCGAAATTTGATTTATTTGACATTTTTTATTAATTAATGATTAAAGAAATAAAACTTTGACCAAAATTTTTGACAAAAATATTGTTTACTTCAAAAAATCGATAACAGTTCAAAACGTACATAATAAACTCATCTGAAATATTGAAATATGATAATATGCGTATGAAAGATTTTAAATTCAAAACGTTGGCTTTAACTGAAAGTTAACGTCGCAAAATCACATGTCTTTAAATAACGTCTCGCACTATCAAAAAATACCTTGATGAAAAATCTCTTATCACAAGTATGGGTAAAATTACCTAATGACATTATGCCAAGAAAAATTGAAACAGTTATTGAAAATAATAGGTGGCCAAAGAAATATGAGCTTATATATTCTTTATTAGTTTATTAAAACTTCAGAATGTGCATGCGTTTTGAACAATTGAGATTTTTTTTATGGTAAATTAAAAATAATAAATAGTCCAATTTTGGGTAAATGTTAGAAAGAAACGAAAATCACATATTAATTATTATTGTAAACAAATAAATGATCTACAAAAAAACTCGATTACTATTACTGTGCAATTTTATTGAATATTTTGTCCAATTATTTTAATTATTAAAAATGAAATAATGCAAATAACAATAATCATATGATTATAAAAAATATCTAATATCTAATTATATATATTAAAATGTAAAAGATATATTCATCTTGATTTATTCATGTCTAGGAGTTTCTAGGACTAAGATGGGAAACATGACCTTGAGATCTAGTATGTTCGCCGATCACCTCAAGATGATATTGTTCCAATTTACTTTCTTCTTCCTCGTCAACTTCTTGATACATTTCCTCGTTTCTAACATCTTCTGGCGTGATACGTAGAGCTTTTCCAGTACGTTTCTTATGAATTTCTGATGCTTTACGAGCCGATTCAATACGAGCTTCTATACTCCTGTCCTAAGAAATTATTTTAAAAATAATTAATCAAATGAATGAATATATTTAATTAGTTTATAATTTTCTTTTTACTAACACCTCGATGACTTGCGGCTATATATGCACGTTCTTGATTTTCTATTAATAGAAAAAACTATTAATCTTATTTTATTTATTTGTTTGTTTGTTTTTTTTTATTTACCTTCGTGAGTTCTTTCTTCGTTTCTTTTACGTAAAGTTGTCATTTCGTAAAATTTTATTTATTTAAATTGAAAAATATTCTATTTATTTAAGTGTTTTATCTCTTTCCAATATTTGTAATGTAGATAATGTATCAGAATATGTAAGAGGATTCAAAAAAAATTCGAAAAAAAAAATTATATATATTTATATATTTATATACTTACATATTTGTACCTGTGTACTTTTCAAATAACTTTTATTATTAATATAAATAATAAAACTGAAAAAGAAGAAAAGGGGTTTTTCTTGTAAAATTTAAAAGAATTAATTTATATTACTTTTGTCAAATTATATATCATATGTATATTACTAGGATGATGTAATGGTGAGTAAATTATGATTTTTCTTAATTAAAAATTTTATTTTATTATAATTAAAAAAATTTGTTATAAAAAAATATTTTTGGTCGGCCTTCGTTAAATTTTATTAACCGAATTTTATAAAATTTACGTGTAATAAATATTTAAAGTTATCCGATCAAAAAACACGCTTGATACATAGACATTCGCGTCAATTTTGATTTTTTTTTCTTCATAATCAGGGATCAATGAACTTATTTTTTGCGATCTTTTACTACCATTTTAAAGTTATATGTAATTAATTACATTCTTTATATAGGCAATAATAAATTGCGATGGATGTCTTATACCTTAAAAGATGTTCGTTTTCTGTTTTCACTGTTACAAAATATTTAAAGTCACATTTATATACACAGCTTGTGCTAAATTCGTGACATATTATGGTTATCTGCTATTACAAATAAAACCAAGCCTTGGTTTGTTTCGTAAGTTGAACCAGAGGGTGCAACATAATGATGCTGTATCCACAGGTCAAGTCCATTCAAAATAGATATAATAATTAGTTTTTTCAAAAAAGTAGTGATGTTAGCCGGCTAAAAAAAAAAAATTTCTTTCAACATTTATTTTTACATCTGGAATTTTAATGCAGAATTCAGTGGCGTAGACATTTGGTTGAGATGTGTCCACCTGCATTACTTATAATGACAGAAAATCATACATTTGCTGAAAAAACAAAATACAATACATCATAGCAGAATAAAAGTCATAGAGTGTCTATTCGTAATACAAATTCGAATTATTATAATTCATTTTATTCAAACTGTTAGTTCTATTCGAATTATTTGTTCTTTCGACCTATTTGTTCTTCGACCTATTTGAATTATTCGACCTATACGAATTCATAACGAATAAAACAAATAATTTAATAAACCCCTTATTCGATTCATTAAAGGCGAGATATTATAATAACAATAGTAAATAATACTAATAATAAATATAATAATAATAACGATAGTAGTAATCATATTATTTGTAACTTAGTTTTAGACCAAGTTGAAATCATCATGTTCATAATTATTAATATAATAGTTATAACTTCCTAACACTCTAAATAATATCATAATAATAATATTATCACTAAATAAAACACATAACATATTTACCTTAAATAAATCTTAACCTTTGGAATAACAGTTAATTAATCGCTAATTAATAAACTTGTGGAGAGAAGCCTTTGCTGATAACAGCAAGCACCCAGAGACTTAATTGTTGGGACATATTTCAAGGGGACGCCTTTTAAATACATAAATTTAGGAATCTTTTATCTAGACTTCGAGTTATAAGATAAAAGAATTACATATTGGCTATAAATCGGAGGTTCAGAAAAACCAGACATGTATTGACATTTAGAATTAGGAAACTCGGATTTCACGCTTGCAATATAGAGAGAGTGAACTGTGTCTTATTTATTTTTTACTGCTTCATTTTCATTCCAGGCATCACTATATGATGTTTTTCGTTTTGTACATTCCAATTGATATGGATAATGCATTGTTCAACACTGCACCTTGGGAATGGATTTCTACACAAATTTTCATAGGGAGATAAGAAAATAAAATGAGGGATGGCTGTCTTATTTATATGTTTTGAAATTAATAAAATAGGCTGTTGTCTTGGCCTGAATGATGTCATTTTTTTGCTTTTTGCGAACTTAAAATAAATGAATTTTGTTCTCGCGTAGCAGAAACTCACATTGCGTTCTCAGTTGTAAGCTTGTTTAATTTATTTGACTATTACTAATTATCTTTGAGATTGATAACTGTAAGACAATAAAAATAATTTATATATCATTAATTCATTTTGGAAAGTAATTCATTCTTTACACTACTACACTAATAAAAAATTTTTATAATTAATCCTAATAGTAATAATAATAACAATTCAATTCGAATAATAATTATTAACTATCTTTTCAAAAAAAACTTTTTACATGTAAATAAAAAAATGTCAAGTCAAAAGCGTGAGGCAAAACCATATTCTAAAAATTTGCCATCTCTCAAAAGGTGTAAATGTGGTTCTCTCAAACATCAACACATAACCAGTAAAGACTGTTTAATACAAAAAGTTAGCTGAGCAAAAAAATTTACCCAACCTTCAATTCTACTAATACGCTCACACTAATAAGAACTATAAAGTGCACACTTAATATCATGTTAATTGATAATTCAATCAAACCAGCCCTGGAAGATGCATTGACTCATATTAACACTATTACTTTTGAGGGAGCAAAACTTTTAGAACTTTATTTATTGGACAAATTGGATAGAGAGGTGCCAGATCAAATACCAATAATGGATTATAACTTTCTTTATTTGAAAATTATTTCAAGCTGTTTCATGCAGAGAAGGATCTCATGATCCACAAAGAACATCTGATTAGAGGTTGGCACCATGCAAAAATTCTTTAACCGGTTAATTAACCATTAAAAATAAGAGTTAACCGGTTAACCGGTTAATTTAGTCACGTGAAAAATTTTAATTGGTAAATTCAATCGTTCGTTACAAAATAATCACATTCCTGTTGAATTTCATTATTATACACTTCATAGATAGATTCTAATGGTTATGATAGGAATTTAATTGACATTTAAACTAAATTTTATTTAGTCAAAATCAATCTCACAATAAGGATTATTTCTTTTCAAAAATAAGAGCTCATTAACAAGTTTAGGTGCTAAACATGTACGCTTAGGATTTATTTGATTACCAGCATCACTGAAAAGCCTTTCAGCAGGCACAGATGTTGCTGGTATTGATAAATATTTTCTGGATATTTTTGAAAGAATTGGAAACTCACTTTTCCTTGCTTTCCACCAAGCCCAAGGATTTTCTGATTGATGTGCCAAAGGAGTTAAACGAAGATCCAAATATTTATCGACTTCAGATATCTCATCATGTTCTTCATTATCAAAAATTGATTCAAAAAAATTAGATGAATATCTTGATGTTTCTGACAAATTTGAAGAATTTTCATTTACTGAAATTTCATTTTCCTCATATTGTAGATAAATTTCTTTTAATTTTTCTATTGTGTTTTGTTTAGTGTTGTAATCAAATAAAGACAATCTTTTCAAACGAGGATCCAATATAGTTGCCAGTAAACCAAGATCTGAAGTTTTATCCCAATAATCAAATAAAGAATTATAAATTTTTCGCTGAAAATTTAATGCAACATTGTTAAGATTTGGTCTTGGTGGAATTGAAGTTCGTGATCGGGTAAAATGTTTATGAATTAATGGGTCATCATCATTGTTATTATTGTCACCATTATTGTCATCATCATCATCATCATTGTCATCATCATCATCATCATCATCATCATCATCATCATCATCATTGTCATTGTCATTATCATCATCATCATCATCATCATTATTGTCACTGGTATCATCATCACCTAAAAACAAATTATTTAGAAATTATTATAACATATTATAATCAACAATACACACTTATATCAAATTCTTTACCATCCTGCTCTTCTCCACATGCAAACTTTACTTTTAATTTTTGTATGATTGGATACATTAATGATAAAGTGGGATATCGAGCACCAGAAAAAAAAGTTGTTGCCTCTTCAAAAGGTTTAAGAAGTGACAAAATTTTTTCTAGCAATTCCCATTCATAATTCTTCAATAATAAATATTTAAGCCTACGAGCATCAGATTTAGAATCTTTTCCAGGTTCATAAGGTAAAGTATTTGCCAACCATTCAATTGACTTTCGCAACTTCAACAATCTAACCCATGAATTATAAGATGCATTCCACCTTGTTTTAACAGCTGCCACATTTCTTAATATGTTTATATTGTTTAAATTAGTTTCTTGATCATCATCATCATCATCATCATCATCATCATCATCATCATCATCACTACCATTATCATTATTGTTATTACCATTATCATTTCCATCATCATTACTTTGAAAATGTATTAAATTATTCTGACCCAAATCTTGTTGTTGACCACCACGTACAGAAATTTCTAATTGAGCATTATTTAACCTTTCAGTTTGTTTTGGAGATGATGTGAAAAATTTAACCAATTTTTTAAATCTTTTGACATATGGTTTGATTGATCCAAGTGCTTTATTTATAGTTAATTGAAGTACATGAGCAGTGCATGGAATTCGTTCAACTTCTTCCCACAACTCAAATGCTTTTTTCATGTTACTTCCATTATCAGTTATGCCACAAATTAATTTCCCTTCAAGCCCAAATTCATTAATTTTATTTTTTAGATATTCAAGAATCGTTTGATTTGAATGTGGATATGGCATTTTTTCAATTGCGAGTAGGACATCAACTAGTTCAAAATCTGGTGTAAGCCAGTGGCATGTAACACCTATGTAACCTACTTTAGATCTTGCTGTCCATAAATCAGTAGTGATAGTTGCAGTATCACAAGTTTCTCTTATTAGATTGATTAATTTTTTTTTTTTGTAATATGTATGCTTTTGTAATTAGGTTTTTTGTTGTTTTGTTGTTTGGGATACGAAACCTTGGATCCAATCTTTTCATAAATTGTTTAAACCCATTGCCTTTCATCACATTAAATGGCAAGGAATCCAACACAACCCATTTTGTAGCAGCACATTGAAGTTCTCTCATTTGTTTAGGGGGGTGTTCTTTGATCTTTTCAAACATTTCAACAACTGTTCTTTGATTAGTTTTTTTTTCTAAAAAAAAAAAAAATATTATTATATATAATACATAGATTTACTTTAATAATTATTCATTATAAACATACTTGTTCTTGAATAAAAATTTCATGTCTATGTATTAAATGATAGTTCAATGTTGATGTAGATACTGATTTTCTTGAATATTTGGAACCACAATTTGATACATTACATTTAATATTATTTCCATCATCTTCAAAATAATCCCAGGTTTTGGATTTTTTATTACGTATTTTCCCAATAATATTTCTATTACTTCCAAGGTTATCTCGTGTGTCATTAGACATATTACCAGTATCAAAACCCTCATTATCTTCAGCTTCATTAAATGGTTCATAATGTTCACTTGTTACATCCATTGTTACAATATTATGAGCTAATGAAAGAATGCAATATTATTTATTATTATGCGTGAGAATTAATAATTGTATAAATGCAAAAAATGGAAAAATGAAAATACACTTCTGACAAAACTTTTCTTTTGGTGAAATTGGATGATATTGTTGAACCAGCTTCAGATGGAGCAGGTGGTAATGTGTGTTCTGACTGAATCTAATGCTGATAAATTTTCAGCTTGTTTAATTATTAAAATAAATAAAATTTTATAATTCTTTTTTTAAATATATATTTTTTCTACCTTTCTTGGCTCCAAGTTTCAGGTGATGAATTAATATACTCTATGAATTTATTTTTATGAATTTTATGAATTATGAATTTTATGAATTATGAATTTTATGAATTTTGTTGAATTTATGGTTAACGGAGAATATGGAGAAGCCACAAGGTGAACATTATTGTACAAATTAATCATGTGGCTTTGTCATATGGTTATGGGAACAAAAAAAAACAAAAGAATTGCCATATTATTAGGAAAAGATTGTAGCAGCAGTAGCAAGCAGTGGTATCATTATTATTAAGTCATTAATTAAAAAAATATTAATATATGGTTAACTGGTTAAATTAACCGGTTAATTTTAACCAGTTAATCAAAAAGAATTAACCAGTTAAAAAAATATCTTAACCGGTTAACCATTTAATTGCAGTTAACCGGTTAACCGCGGTTAAACGGTTAATGGTGCCAACCCCTACATCTGATGAATCATTAAATACATTACATGATAATCGTCATGCCAGTCAAAGACCTCTGAACATGCAATGGTGTCAACATGTGGAATTGGGCAAATTATAAGTCTTTCTGCCAACCAATATCTCACTAATTGTCATAGCCATGTATCCAGAAATATTTCACAATGACTTTGCAAATTCATCAATTTTTGTCTCCATAACACACCTGAAATTTGTAATAAAATAAAAACATTAAAATTGGTTAATTTGATATATAAGGCACTGGTGTCAATATTAATAATATTGGTGAAATTGTGAAGAACATAGATGATGCATCACAACAATGCCTAAATTGCATTTTGGAATTATATAATGAAGTTAGAAATTTTGTTGGGGACTTTGGATCTTTCAGAGGATGCAATGGGTGGAGCAAAAAGCTGGCAAAATTACTTTCCTTTGTTATACAAAATCTTGAAAATATTTGAAGAAAATAATAATATTAAAGGGTTGAGAATCTTTGATATTATCCCTCAATTTAGCTTTCATACAAGATATATGCCTCTTGATACAAATGCACTTTACAAAGTCTTAAAATCAATTGTCATCCATCCTCTTGAAAGAGGGATAAATGAAACACAATTTGGGGATAATGCCAATTATTATTGGAATCAGGTATTTGATATCAACAAGCATGGGAATAAATTCAGATTTTTTTTTGAGACTGACTCGGTTGGTGTCAGTATATCAATCTTCAAAAATACAAAGGATGAGTTCATTGAGGATAATTGTGGAATAACTAATATTTTTGGAAAAAAAGATGATTGGTCTTGATCCTGGGTAGAGCTCCGAACGAGTCGGGTCGGGTCGTGTCAGTGGTTCAACCCGACCCGACTCGAACTTTTAAACAGTTGACCCGACCCGACCCGTCAGGTCAACGGGTCACAGATTAAGAAAATTACAAATGTAGATATATTAATTGATTTAAATATATACAGTACACACAATATGTTCACTATTACTGCCCAACATCATTGCTGGTTTATTTACATTAACATCAATTTTATTTTTATGATTCTTAAGATAATGACTTAAATTTGAAGTAGAGCCACTATTCATATTATATTTCCCATGTCTTTATTTAATATAATTAACACAATTAGTAATTTTTTTAAAAAAAAAATAAGTAATGCAATTTATTTTAATTACTTACAAGCAATATTTACATTTAGCCCATTTTATGCCTTTTTCATCCATTTGTTTATCAAAATGTGTCCATATTGAACTTTTATTCTTAGAAATACCAATGGTCTTGATAGAATTAATCCTGCCACCATCACCATTGCCACTGCTACCACTACCATTATCATGCTCATTATCATTATCATTATCAATATCATCATTATCATAATTACAACCACCATAATTGTCATTACCACAATCATCATAATTGTTATAATTGTTAATATTTCCTTCAGGTTCAATGTAAACACTCTCTTCAGATTCTAAAAAGGTGCTTTCTCTGTCTAAAATAATTACTTTATCATTGTCATTGTAATTATTGTAATTGTCAATCTCAATTCTTCTTTTTGAAATTATTAATTAATTTAATTAATTTATGCTTATGCTATGGTTTTTTTTTTAATTGAAAATAATATATTAATGAATGAGATAATAATGAAATAGTGTTACCGGAATTAGATTTTGACCACAGATCTTTTGGTCGAATCTTTTAATTCCGGGACAATTTAAATTTATCATCATCTGAATTCGCATTACGTTTCGCTTATTTTATTATTATTATTATTATTATTAATCAATCCGTAGCACAGTCATATTTATTTAACTTTATTTAGTAGAGATTAGTGACGATTCTTTAAAATGGGCGGATTCGCCCAGGTACAAAGCGAGTGGATTCGTGCAATTCAGGCTAATATGTAAAGAACATGTACATAAAGAACTTGATTTCGACCTAATGTAAAAGCAAGTTTCTTACAAGTTAATTAGTTTTGACTAAATAAATAAAATAGAAATATTTTATTTAAAACTTTTATCTTCTTTAACCAAAATTATTCACTAATAACAAAATCAATTCATTGATCCCCTATTCATTCTGATCCACACAAAACAAAAACAATTATTATCACCAATTAAAATACACTCTCCCGAATTTAATTGGTGACAATAGTAATAATGAAATAATGATAATAATGATAATGATAACAAAATAGCAATAATAAAAAAATAAGGTTTTCACAGCATAGTGGACATTCGTTTTATCACATGTGACAAAATCGATCATTGATCTTTTTTATGTTGTGAAACATGTGACTTCAATTGAATTTAGAATAGAAAAAAGTCGCGTGACTGCGCACAAAAATTTGTTTAACCTGAGATGTATTTTTTTAACATGTATATTTTGCTTTCTATGTTCTTGGTATGTGTGTGAAAAATGATCAAATGATCAAGTTGCTTTTGAAGGGTTACATAGGAGCTATGTTTCAAGCTTTAGTGATCAATGTAAGTATATTGTAAGACATTCTAGGCTCAGAATCATGCATTTTTGTTTTATAATAAGTTTATTTAAAATTTTACATTTCAGAAATAATCATTTCTTCATTTAATGTAACAAATTATCATTAACCATTATCTTTTTCTAGTCTATTATTATTATATAGTATTCATAAAATGATCGGATAACATGTGCGGTATTCACTATTACTATTATTATCATCGCTGATGTTTATTAATAATTGCTCCAAGTCTTTTAATAAAATTAGTTGGTGAATTTAATTTTATTCCACTTGAATTTATCATCAAATTAGTTCATGTTGTCTCATGTTTTAGAATTATATTGTTAATAAATTAAGTTAAAAGTGTGAATCAACATTGCTATTAAACGCACATTTATTTATATTATTTATCAACAGCATGCATTGATTTGTATTATTAATAAATTAAGTTAAAAGTTTAACAACATTGTTATTCAACGTGCAATGATCATTGATCTGGTAGATCAACGTTTTCAAAATTTCCTGATGAAGGCTCTTATTTAAATTACAATCTGTTTTGAATCAGATCAAAACTAGATCAGATCTGGTAGACAAAAGTCAGGTGCACTTTTAAACAAAAATTGTACAAGAATGCGCACAATAATAATTAAATGAAAACACCATTTTGCATGCAAATTTAAATTTTCTATCATGTCTAGAAAAATAACTATTAAAAAAATAAAAAATTCGTCCAAAAATATTTGATCAAAATTTAATTTTTTTAATCATTAGTTTAATAAAATGTTAGAGATGTGAAAATTTGCACATACAATTTGTTGCAAAAAGGTGTTAAATAGTTGTTGGATGAATGCACAAGAGATGTTAGATTTTTTGGAACTAAAAGTAGAAGAGAGCTCAGATTTACCAAAACTATCAACTGTACAAGGATGGATAACCCGACACACAGCACAGATACACTTGGAGTTGAAAGCTAAAATTACTAATGATAAGTTTTTTTTGTTTGATATAATAATACTAATAATTATGACTAGAATATAATTTTTTCATACCTTTCACTTTAACTTTTCTAATTCTCTATGCTAATGCAAAAAATAATATACTAAATATAAATAACATATTTATATTTTTTTTTGGATAAAATTAATTCTACAATCATAATATTTTTTAATTGCTTAAATCTTTATAATAATTTTAGGCAGAAATCTAGAGCTCCGAAACAAGTCAACATCATGTTATAATTGCCTTTAAAAGTTCAAAATTATTTTTGAAACTAGTATAGATACTAATAAATGAATAAAAATAAATGGCAAAATAACAATTTTGACATAAAAAAAA